ATGTGCTATTGGTTTTGAGTTGTAATAGATCTGAAACCGTTGCAAGTACCTTGGCCAGTCGTATCTGTGTAGATTCTAGAAGGCTTCCACGCTCGCCAGCGGGTCGCCAATTGCCCCTCGGCATCGGTTACAGAGGCTTGAACGCGTCAAGCCCGACAAGGTATGATAGTTGAGAGGCCCCAATAGATCCATTGTCAATGCGACTGTGAGTCTGCAGGCGACCTGATTCACGCTTTGCGCGACCTGTGGAGGAGGTGGTTCTTCTCTTGGCGATGCTCATCAACCATGAGTACCACTATTCATTTGGCTAGTCCCTTCTAGGTCTGGCATAGCGCTGCGATCCCTTGCAGCTGCAGCTCTTGGGTAGGTTTCGTAGCGCACGCTTGACCACGTTGGGCCACTCAGTCGTGAAAAGGCTCATTGAAAGCCGCCGCGGCGCAAACCCCTTTGCCATAAACAATAAGCTAAGAAGCTGCGCGCAATATTAAACTCGCATATCTGTATGTAGCGGCTCGCAATATTGACTGCGCTTCAAGAGGGATGTTTGCGCACGTTGTGTACAAAACTCAGACAGATCGAGTCTGCTGCTGCTGAGGCGAGTTGCCACATATCGAGTGTTGTGTATGCCTTAAGGTACCTTATCATGTAATGTGCCGCAGGAAGCGATGCAGTGAAGAGACGCCGGGGAGGTAGTACCTGGCGCCCGGGCCACAGCAAGTCCCGACGCCTCTCGCGAATACAACTGGAAGCAGCACGATCTGCAGACACAGTGCCTGCAGGTGCCATTCGTGCTCATTTGCGGCCGGGAGTGTCTTTTTCGTAGGGAGGCAAAGGAGGTAGGTAATCGTATGTACTGTAGCCGGTCCTAGTGAGTCGTGATGAGATTGAACAACGGGTCAGCGCTGGATTTGGAAGTGTCTCCTGTCGCTCGCACGCTTCTCTACTGTACGTGGGCTGACGCAGGCGATGCCCATCCTTAGCGACGGATGCGCGCTGTGAGTTTGAGCTTACACACAGATTTTAGGGGGACTGGTAGTGGCCACAGCGTGTCTGGGGTGATGGTGGTGGTGGGCTGCAGATGCGACACAAGAGAGAGAACCTAGGACGAGAGGAAATAAGGTGCAGTGCCAGGTGCAAGGTACAGCACCCTCAGGGGCCTCGCCTGGTCGGGGCGGCCTGTGGGACTCCCTGCACTGTCTGGGCCCCCCCATTTCACTACTGCCAGTGCTCGACTAGTACCTATACTGCTCGTCCAATGCCTATCACTGCTGCATCGCTGGGCTTATTACCTGGCGAACCTGGCACAACCTGGCACTTCCAGTTTCCCATGTCCTCCTGTTGCATCTCCACCCCCGGTCGTTCGCTCGCTCAACCACCCTTTTTCCCCTTCCCTTTTCTCGCCCGTGTTTTCTCTCACCATCTCCGCCGTCAAACCCTCCTTCAGCTTTGGTGGTTGCCATCGAAACACACACATCTCTCTCACAGCCGTCGCTTGCGATTGCCAACCCCCCGAACGACTTCCTCTTGGTAAGTGTCTCTCTCTTCTCGCAGCCAACTTTCTCTCGACTGCAATCGTCTCGTTGCCGCCGCCATCCGCATCCCCGATCGACCACAGTCCCGGTCTCCGCCTGACTCCTATTCGCCTGGACACCCGAACGTCGCGTAATGCGATGGCTCAGAACACTCAGCTTCTCGCATCTACACGTATGGGGCACCGCTTTTAGAGCTTCAATGCATAGCTGCGGACGGCTACAGCCACTTGCGTGGTCATAGTGGCACGCCATTTCGACTAGTTCGGCGAACTGAGGGACCGATTGAGTCAGTGTGGACGGACAATTAGGAGAACGACAACAACGAAGCAGCATATTGTCCATGGACTCCGCTCTCACAATTCACGTTCACATATCACACAGCATCCATTCAAGACGCTAATTAGCATGTTCAGATAGCACGAATCGGACGCCGGTGCTTCCGATCGCACCACTTTCTACTTGCCTCTTTGGCCTGAATTCCTGTCGGATCACTCATAGTGCCCACATCTCTACACAGCCGTCAAGATGGGTTGTGGAATGAGTACGGAGGAGAAGGAGGGCAAGGCCCGCAACGAGGAGATCGAGAATCAGCTGAAGCGCGATAAGATGATGCAGCGCAACGAGATCAAGATGCTTCTTCTGGGTAAGTCAAACAGCTTGTCGTCTAGCTAGTCTGAACTTTGGAGCTGACTGGCGTGACTCAGGTGCTGGTGAATCTGGAAAGTCGACTATTCTGAAGCAGATGAAGCTTATCCACGAGGGCGGCTATTCACGCGACGAGCGAGAATCCTTCAAAGAAATCATCTTCAGCAACACGGTCCAGTCAATGCGTGTTATTCTCGAGGCTATGGAATCCCTCGAGCTGCCACTTGAGGACCAGCGCATGGAATATCATGTTCAGACCATCTTCATGCAGCCCGCAAAGATTGAGGGTGACGTTTTGCCCCCTGAGGTTGGCAATGCTATTGAGGCTTTGTGGAAAGATCGCGGAGTTCAGGACTGTTTCAAGCGGTCGCGCGAGTACCAACTGAATGACTCGGCCAGATAGTAAGTCATAGCATGTATTCAGGCAGTTTGGTCTGACCAGAATCGCTAATAAGGTCTCCTTAGCTACTTCGACAACATTGCTCGAATTGCTGCTCCCGATTACATGCCCAACGATCAGGATGTGCTCCGATCGCGTGTCAAGACGACGGGTATCACGGAGACTACTTTCATCATTGGTGACTTGACCTACCGGATGTTCGACGTCGGTGGCCAGAGATCAGAGCGAAAGAAGTGGATTCACTGCTTCGAAAATGTCACTACGATTCTCTTCTTGGTCGCTATCTCAGAATACGACCAGCTTCTTTTCGAGGATGAGACTGTCAACCGCATGCAAGAGGCTCTGACGCTGTTTGATTCGATCTGCAACTCGAGGTGGTTCATCAAGACATCGATCATCTTGTTCTTGAACAAGATTGATCGTTTCAAGGAGAAATTACCCGTCAGCCCCATGAAGAACTACTTTCCCGACTACGAGGGCGGCGAGGATTACGCTGCTGCTTGCGACTACATCCTTAACCGCTTCGTCAGCTTAAATCAGCACGAGACGAAACAAATCTACACACATTTCACCTGCGCGACCGACACGACGCAAATCCGCTTTGTTATGGCTGCTGTAAACGGTAAGTAACACTGCTTCTTGTTTCTTGTATCTTGACTAATTGCGCCGTTCAGATATCATTATCCAAGAAAACCTCCGACTGTGCGGTTTGATCTAACCGACATGCCCGACTCACGACATGCGAGGAAACACGACTTCTAAAATACCCACAAACGTATACCTACAGCTGCCAGTAATGGTTTAGATCTGGCTAATGATTGACCTTTACCCCGCGATGATTTGGCAAACGAATCTTGCATGTGTTTTGATTTGCAACTGAAACTGTCCAACATATTCCTTCACCCACTGTGTTTTTACATGACCGCTCCCGCTACCACCCCTTCGGGTCTGCCAAAGACCTGAACACTCTCCCGAACACACACAAGATGCGTAACATGACGTCGAATGAGGGGCCATTGTATCGCGGATTACATATCTTGTTTAATTATGATGCGGGCGAGGTTGACCTCTCTCTCATGTTTCTTTTTTCTTTTTGTTCCCTATGAAGGCATACGGAATGCCTCGGCAAAAGCCTAAAACGGGGACTCGGCGACGCACTAAATGCGTCGTGCCTGGATGATCAGGGGCGAGGCGATGGATGATTGCGATGAAGTTATACCAAGGAGGAGTCGTAGCGAAAGTGCTTGGAGCAACTTCGAGCTCTTAGATGGGAATGGCTGGATTGTCGATACAAATGAATAAAACCAACCGCTGTTCTAAATTCAAAAGCCTTCTAGGCCACCTTTGTCCGCAGACTGTGATTCAAGTCTCGTCATCCCCTTCGGTGAGTATGCAAGGGATTGATAGCCCCGACTGTACTGTGTTCAATTAACATATTTTTTTCAACAAAGAGAAGGTGGGCATTCGCTACTGTTCTCTGTAAGCATTTTAGCGAACGCTCCGATAGTAGTTACAAGTATTTGACAGTAATCTATTGTTAAGCCCGCCTTGTTGAGATTCTAAGTATAGACTACTAGTTACGAGTGACAGGGTCAGGCTCTGCAAGACTCATCCTAGAGCTTACTATGAAAATGGATTCAAAAGAAGAGAATTGCAGTCAATTCACTGATACCGTTCTCGTACATTTCTCGAAAAATTTCATAATTCCTTAACCCTAAGCTGTACTGAATCTGATTTGTCTCTTTGTAGAGCTAGCCTGTGGAATAGCACTATGCTTCTGATAATCGCCACTGGTGGTCAGGCAGACGACGGATGTCGAACCGGCCATAAACAATGTTTGGTTCTGAACCCTGAAGCTAGAATTTCACAGACTGTCTAGACTTGTTGAGATTTAGGGTCTGAATATGGAATATTCGGTGAGAGAAGAAAACGACGTGTTTGATCCTGATTCCGCCATGTTGACACGAGAAATCTTTGCCAAGCTGTCAAGCTGTTTGATAGGCGAGAAGAAATAAGTTTTCTTACTCTAAATTGCTGCTATCATGTAACTTCGAGAGCAAATAACTAGGAGTGGGAGGTTTTGGTGATGTTTGAAGTGTAGTTAGATGAAGGATTGGGATCAGTGTCATAATAGCCATAAACGTCTGGCAACTTTGCTCAACGCTTCGAGTAATTGCGAACAATCATATAGCCTAGGATATCCCAAAATCTCACCCATTGTTCTATTTGTATCCATATATCCCGGAGGAATCTCCCGCTATGTCCTTGGACCCTTTGAGCCCATCTCACTCATCCGGAAATTCCGTGGACTTTGCACTCACTGCCACAATTGACATCACCGATGCCTTTGCAAAAGGAATGAAGACGAACATCACGAACTTTATGGTAGTAATCATAAAGCATCCTGCTATCAATGAAGCACAGGTCGGTTAGCTCAGTTGGTAGAGCATCTCAATTACACTGAGAAGGCCATAGGTCCAAACCCTATACTGACCATCATGTCTTTTGATTGTTTCGTTGTATCACTTTTTTCTAGCCAGTCCCTGTTTACTTCAAATTGGGTCCTTGGATGAAGGACAATGTAGTGACGTTTTCGCATAAGATCCACATGTCGACCTGTCTAGTATGGCTGAGACAGACCCTAAATTCCAGGCTATCGAGAGTAATTAACGAAGCATCTCCTATTTCTATATGATTCTCTTCTGTCGAAAAAGAGAAAGGTCTTAAACGAGTCCACAGAGTCTTCCTCATCCAACCTCAACCAGATGGTGTCATGGAGCTGAGATAGTGACCCACGCGTAAGTGTTTGAAGAATGTTATGGTTTTGTCTTCATTTTATTGTCCTTGTGCGACTGATCTTGTATATAATTTCTATCTAAGAATAGGCTCTTTTTTTTTTTTTTTTTTTTTTTTTCGAACGCCGGGCTCTGTCTCCATGGCCTGTTTATTACCTGCCATTTATTTTGGGACCAGGATCACGCCTAGAAGTCTAACGAGAACTTAGTTTGGTTGCTACACTGGACCACGATCCGAATCGAACACAATAAAGTTTATGGGTTTAGGAATTTTCAGATGTGAAAATCACATTCCAAAGCTGTGACCAGCAACCATCGAGGCAAATGTCGCATTTCTTCAGCAACATTGAAGACTCCATGAAGCCCATCGCCACGGCTGTAGACTATATGAGGCGATGCCTACACGTAAGTATGGGTATTATGGGGTATAATTAGATACTAAGCTCAGGTGCTCTCTGGTGATCCCAGCAATTTCCTTATCATTATTCATTCATCGTCATTACCTTTCTTTCGGTAGTTTATAGGGTGGCCGTTCTTTCTTCCGTATTTTCTAATTTTGCCGAAGATATCGGGCAGGGCGAATAGCATCACGAGGGATATGATCCAGGACATGATCGTATCCACAAGCAGATTGTTGCGGACCGATGCACCAACAGCACCCCAGCGCAATACATGGCCCAGAAAGGCGACCGTGATGAAATAGTCTCCTCTCTCAAGCCCCTTTATCGCGAGAGCTGCCACAGCATCTGGAGTCTGCACAGGATCACCTTCCTCGATGATGAGTGTGATGTCGGGCTTTGTAAGATTCTCGCGCTCAAACCCAGGGCTCGAGATGGAACCGGGATGCACGATATGAAGTTTGACCTCCTGGGGATAGAGCTTGAGCTCCTGGTTCAAAGTGTCGGCGAGTCCACGTAGAGCGCTCTTGGCAGGTGTGTATGGTCCGTATCCGACGACAGGGAAGAAAGCGAGAACAGAGGAAGTGAATATGAGGTGCTTCGGCTCGGGCACAACTGGTGCATCTGGAGCACACCACAGGCGCAAGATTGCGTGGGCCATCTCGGCAGCACCCCAGAAATTGATGTCCATTTGTTTTCTCGTAAGGGACAGTGGCGCTTCGATCCAGAAGTCGGGAGTGGAGGTGCCGGCGATGCACCAAACAACGTCAAGAGGGTTTCCACCGTTCCATTTGACGGCTTCAGCGAGCAGAGCCGGGGCGTAGTCGGGTTCGGAGACGTCGGCAAGGATGTAGGTGAATCGCTGAATCTGAGGGTCGCGTGCGGCGGCCTGGAACGCAGAATAGATGTCAGGAAGGATTGTTGCGGCAAGGAAACTTGAAGGCTGAGACAGTCTCAAGAGCATACCTTGGCTTCTGCCAATGCCTCCTCTAGCTTGTCGGCAGAGCGTGAGACGAGGATGAGATTTGCGCCTCTCTCTGCCATCTGGCGCGCGGCGCTGCGTCCCATGCCATACGAGGCACCAGTAATCAGGACCGTCTATGGTAATATAAATTAGTCTGTATGTTCAACACATCGTTCGACTTGAAGCAAGAGAAGTGTGCATTTACCTTGCCATCGACGGGCATCTGGTTCTTGCTCCAAAAGGCGCCCATGGTGAAAGTGACAAAGAGTGACAGTATCAAACCAATGGCAACGGTAATCCACGTGGTCTGAGAAGGAAGCTCCATGAAGAGGTAGGAAATGGATCCGGGTAAGAAGGGAGAGTAAGGGAGTGGTAACTGGTTTCGGGTGCGAAACGAGGGCTGTACTCGGGGCCGTAGTCCTGGATGCAGGGTTGCGTTGCCAATGGCAGACCCTAGACTAGATGTCTACCAGGTGTGGCATACTCCGTCCAACAGCACTTGAAGCTATTCGCAACGCGGTCAGCATTGGTGCCACCAGACTGTCGGATCGTGTCTCCACTGTCGGACCTGATAAGTACCCAAGTACCGGGGAAGAGCGTACCTATGTACCTCTAATGGTGGGATGAGTGGGGCGATGAAAAAAGTACAGACAGCGATAAGAACCGCAACCAACAAAAAAGTTGCCCATGGACCTTGACGCTGCCCGCATTCACATCGCAACATAATATCCCCAACAAGGCAGTAAAGCATGGGCAGGAAGAGGAAGGCCACGACCTCCAGGTCGAGTGGCCCGCGCGAGTACGATCCCAAGGACGGACGGCTAGGTCCCATCACTAGCCATCGGGACCTGATGAACGACCAAGACCGTTTCGAGGACGAGGACGACGATGAGATTCTCTTCGACGACGCTCCTAAATCCAAACGCCAGAGAGCCGAGGAACTGCTGGACGACTCTGAAGAGGAGATCTTGGGATATTCCGAGGGCTCCGAAGACGAAGACGATACCGATCGCTATAAGCAGTCAAAGAAGCCAACTAAATCCAAAAAGCCCCGCGGCCCACGAGACTCGGACGATGAACAGCCCCAATATGAGGATGAGCACAATGACGGGTACTGGGGTGCATCCAAACAGGACTACTACGATGCCGACCAGATCGAAACCACCGTCGATGCCGAGGAGGAGGAAAAGGAGGCTTTGCGACTGCAGAAGAAGAAGCTCGCCAAGATGTCCGAAGCTGATTTCTTCAACGAGGACGAGTGGCTGGCTGCTGAGCCTGAGGCCGCCGGTGAGGATCAAGTTGTCACCGAAGTCCTCAAGGACGTCGAGATCCCTGCCAACATGGGCACCGACGAGAGGAACCGCATCCTACACGCCAGATACCCCGAGCTTCCCTTCCTAGCCGACGAGCTTCTCCAGTTGCAACCTCTTCTTTTAGACCTTCAAAAAGAAGCCCAAGGCCAAGACCCCAAAACTCTGGCCGCTGTCAAATGTGCGTCCCTGTATTCCCCGTGCGCCTAACACCATTGCTAAATTACCTACTGAGTAGATCGAATTCTTGGTTCATTTGTGGCAACTCTTGCTATGTACTTTGGCATACTCACGTCGCCAGCCCGGGATGGTGCTGGTGAGGCAAAGTCAATGGATCCATCGGAGCTTCGCGTGCATGAGGTCATGAGTACGCTTTTTCAATGCCGGATTGCCTGGAAGAGAGTGGAGCATCTCAAGCCATCCCGTATTATTATGCCTGCCGAGAGTCTGCTGTCACCACCTGATGAGGAGGACCTCGCCATGCCAGAGGAGGCGATGGTGCCATCGAGACAGTCCAAAGAAAATAGCAAAGCAAACAAGGCCAAGGCTAAGGCAGAGCGCAAAGCGAAAGCGATCGAAGATTCCTTGGCGGATCTCAACTCACTTATCAAGACGAAGAAGGCACCAACCAAGAAAGCAGCTCTCAAGGACGGTGCGGAGGACAGCAACTCAGACTTTGGCGAAGAAGACTATCTCGACACCCGGACAGCCGCTGACAAAGCTGCACGGAAGAAGAGTCTTAGGTTCTACACATCTCAAATCGTACAGAAAGCAAACCGTCGGGCAGAGGCTGGACGTGATGCTGGTGGAGATATGGATGTACCTTACAGAGAACGCTTCCGAGACCGACAAAGTCGCCTCAACGCCGAAGCAGAGAAGCGTGGAAAGAAGGGCTCTACTATCGGTGCCGATCTTGGTGATGACAGTGATGATGCGGATCGCGAGGTCGCCAAAGCGGTTAGAGAAGAGGGGAACCAAGAATATTACGACCTGATTGCGACAGCGTCCAACAAACGGAAGAAAGATAAGGCCGCGCGGGCTGCAGCGCTGGCAGAGGCTGGCTCCGCTGACCGTATTGTTGAAACAGAGGAGCTAGGACCTGATGGCCGGAGAGAAATCACTTATGCCATCAAGGCCAATAAGGGTCTTGCACCCCGGCGGAAGAAAGAAGTGCGAAACAGCAGAGTGAAGAAGAAGCTGCAGTACCAGAACAAGCTGAAGAAGCTTCGCAGCCAGAAAGCCGTGTACGGAGGTGGAGAAGGAAAGGGGGGCTACGCCGGAGAGCTGAGCGGTCTCAAGACCAATCTCGTAAAATCCACGAGGCTCTCGTGAGAGTGTTCATTGTTAGACCTGAGAAGAAGAATATAGACAAATACATATTTGTGTACCAAGGCCCATTTGCCAAAGTGAATGAATGCATCTGCATCAATTACAGACAGGGCAAGAACGTTGAACAAGGTGGCTGAATGTTATTCAACATTGAATGCCTCATGGTGGGCGTTGCTGTGACAAGATGGGTGGTCAAGGAATCCAAGTTTCCAAGGCAGCAGAACGAGCCCCACTAGAGCAACATCGTCGTGCTTACAAAAGTCAGGGTATTTACTAGTGGTGCTGACGAGTTACCACTCCGGTCCTTCCTTTTTCTTCAATCACCTTTGAATCATTGCCACTTTCACGGTCTCGCCTTTTCTTCATATCCATCACTCGCAGGTACATAATCAACGTTTGCCAACAACCACCGCCAAGATGTCCGTCACAATGGGCTCATTGCGCAACGATGTCGCTGTCCCTGGCGATGGCGAAGACACCATCTCACGACTCGCTTGGTCTCCTGTCGCCAATCACCTTGCTGCCGCATCATGGGACGGCAAGGCCCGTATTTACGATGTCAACGCCTCTGGATCCGCCAAAGGAGTCACCGCTCTCACCACCGATAGCCCGCTCTTCGACTGCACATGGGCTAAGGTAAGTCATCTAACTACACAGCTATTATCCTCGCCCAGTCCTCGTCCTATCCTCGTCAACACGC